TCCAAAATATATAGTCAATTCTCCCTACGGCTTGTCCCAATCATCTTCTAAGACTGCATATCCTGCACACAACAAAAAAATTCTTACTACGGCTTGTCCCAATCATCTTTTAAGACTGCATATCCTGCACACAACAAAAAAAACCCGAAAACATAACTAAATAATCTCCAGAATCACATATTTGACCAACAAACACAAGATTTAATTTGAGTTTTGGAATAAGATAAACATTAGGGAGAGACAAGTGAGGTGTGACAACATAACCAACACCTACTAAGGGCATAAGAGTGTCATCAGCAGTCATAACAAAAATGAAGGACAGAGGGGACACAAAGGTAAAAGATAAGGAATCTTGAGACATATGATGAGAAACACTAAAATCTAAGATCCATTCAGAGTGTGACATATTTGAGGAACTATGAGGCAACTGACCTATAGAAGAAGAAGCGGACATTGCTTATGGCTACAAGAAGAGAAACTTCTGAAATTGCTCAGCCAAAGTATTGGGATCGGTAATAGAGCCTAGGGAAGTTACTGTTGTAATATTATGAAGTTACTGCTGCAATAATAGAGCCTGGGGTGGTCTATGAGGAATAGGTTGTGACTGACTACCAAACTTCCAATCTTGATTTTATTGTCTCAACCAAACTTCCAATCTTGATTCTATTGTCTCACCTTAGGACACTAAGCCTTCCAATGATATTTCTACTTACAAAAACTACACTCATCGAAGCCAACCCTTGTGTAAGGTTTCTTTTGATGATTATAGAATCGTTTAGAAGGTACTACTAGTACTGAAGGATTCGAAGCAAAAAGAATTCCCTTTTCAGAATAAGATTGAAGACATATTTCTTCAGCCAATAACTCACTCACAACAGAGTTAATAGAAGGCAGTGGAGAACGATGCAGAATTGAACCTCTAAGTCCTTTGAAGTCACTACAAAGTGCTAATAAAAACTGTACTAATCGTTGCTGCTCTCTACAACAAAGTCAATAGAAGGCAGTCGAGAACGATGCAGAATTGAACCTCTAAGTTCTTTGAAGTCACTACAAAGTGCTGATAAAAACTGTACTAATCGTTGCTGCTCTCTACGCTCAATATAGGCACCACATGCCTTTAATTCTGCCGATTCTGTAAGAGCCAATTGATCCCAAAGATCTTTCATAGCATAATAAACTCTTGAAAACTCATATTCTTTTGATGAAGAGCTCGTATGTCATTCTCTAATTGATACTGTTTTGCAAAATTTGATTGTGTAAATAACTTTAATAACTTTTGCAGATGATCTCAAACCTCTTTTGTTGTCTCATACTTCGCCAGCTACGTGCCTATCGAATGTTCAACAGAATTGTTGATCCAAGTAATGATCTTTGCATTATTTTCCTCCCATGTATCTATCAAAACAACATCTGTCTCCTCAATGTTTTTAGATATCATATAAGTTCCACTAACATACCCCCACATCTTCTTACCGTTAAGAAATTTTCTCATTACATAGCTCCAATATGAATAGTTCTTTCCATCCAACCTCACACTCACATACTGAAGCGAATCATCTCTTTCAGTAGCCATAATCAACAATCATAGAAAACTAGAATGCAAAAGCAACGGAAAACCAAATACTAAATTGCAGAAACTGAATAAAAATTCAGAAACTAAACAAATATTTTCTCATTACTATACGATTACTCTAAAACATAAAATAAATTTACAGAAACTGAATGCAAATAACAAATTGTAAAAGTTGAAGGGAAGATGAAATACCAAAATAATTACAGAAATTGATGAAATACCAAATTTTGTAGAAGCGAAAGATAAAATCTCACTCCAAAAAATTGGATCCACGAAGCTGTGTTTGGGATTAAGCCTCATTTTATAGAACTAGTTCTGATACCATGTTAAAATAATTAAGATCAAACACAAAAAGAATACTAGAATTTTAAATAATTTGTATATTATAAATACTTAACCTTAACATAAATATAAATAAAATAAATATAGATTAAACTGAAAATATTATTCTACTTTTAATAAATAAAACTATATAAATATTATTTACCACAACCATCAGCTTGTTCTGCGTTGTTTTCGTTTACAGCAGAAATTACTAATACTGTAGTTAAGACATGCTGTATTATTTTGATATTCCTCATCGTTGAACTTTTCCAGATGAGAAAATTGGCTCCTTGCCTTCAGAAGAGGAACTGACAGGAATTTCCAATGCGCATCTATTGAAGAGGCAGCGGATGATTCAACCTGTGTTAGCTGTGTCTTTTGTCATTAAGCTTGCCAACACGGATAATTGGACAATAACTCCTGTACGATCACTGCGTTGACTTGCGGGCTTGTATGGCTAATGTTATACACTGTTTCATTGAAAATCTATAGCTACTAGCTACCACACGTTATGCCTTTTATTTACTTTTTCGTTGAGGGCGATAGAGAGAAATCAAGAATGCAAATGACGTTGCTAATCTTGTCATACAGAATACAGACCACAGAAAACATATAAGGCTTATAGCTTACAAGTTTTTTTTTTTTTTTTGGTGAAATATAACAACAGCTCTTCTTCCGCCGCCGCCGCCCCCAACGGTTAAGGACTTAAAATAAAGATGATGCATGGAAAGCAAAAGACTCAGGCTATGCTGTCCTTGCTCTACATAAGCTTACTATCTACCACTCATCAGCATTGTTGGCTGTAGACGCTGGATAGCTTGATCCTCGCATAATTGAGGCATCTCCTCCTCCGGCAAGGTCACAATCACTGTCCTTGCAAGGTCTTCGTTTATTGAAGGCATCACCACAATCAGACCTTCACCCACCACATTGTCAAAATGACATGCCACATGAACCGGCTTTTCATCACTCTTAAAACTCGCAGATGACATCAACGATTTATTCCCTATGATCATGTGCTCCATGCTAACACAAGTTAGCTCAGGACCATACATTCGAAAAGGTGGAGCATGCTTCCCTCCCTCTTCCTTCCGTGATTCAAGCCAATCTACAGCATCCCAAATCTCCTCTTCCCCGACACCCGACACATGGCGATGCACCAACTCAACCATATGTCCTAACTTACCGTTATCCATTTCTTCTTCAGTTACTGTTATCATTGCGAAATGCAATGCATTTCCAAAGTAACCAAGAGGGATTGGTGGCTGCACGAGCCTTCTAAAGTCTAGACAAACTGAGAGGGAACATTTGTTGTCATGTTTTGGAGCCTTTAGAAGCACAAGCCGTGTCCAGAAGAGTGCGGCTAGCAAATCAAATGGGGTGGCTTCAGGACATTGATCATGCACTTCATTAAGGCATTTATTGATCGCTGAATTAGAGAACCTGAACGTAGCTGTGACCATTTTCACCAAGGGAGTTCGTGCATTGGCCTTATTTGCATAGTAATTGGTTGATTTACCGCTAGTATCAGGAACTTGTTGGTGATGGGGCGGGGTTGAATTGAACAGGGGGGGATGCTCAATCGGCTCCTGGCGGTGACTCTCAATCCAGGATTTGAAGAGTAGAGTTAGTGAAGTTGGGTCTGCATTCATGTGTGTACAACTTAGTCCAAAGGCTACACCTCCTCCTTCAAATTCGGTTACCTGGATGACCAAAAGTAGAAAGTTGTGGTGTCAACAAACACAAAAGCCTTCGAAAACTAACAATGAGATCCTGATTTTCAATCCTCTCCTGAATTAGAGTATAAGGAAATAATTTTTCAAGAAGCGAAACATTCTCCCCTTGAAAAAGAAAAGGTAAATTTCGGTTATCAAAGTTAGAAAGCCAAACATGAAAATGTGATAAATTCCAACTAGCCGGCTCCAGGTTCAGTATCAAAGACAAGAAGGTAGGCTGTCCAACCACATATGTTTCAGTCTTAGCGTTAATTTTCATTGAGTGGACAACCTATCATTAATGGAATGAAGGGCCGATTGTCATTATGTTTAACCCTACCTAACCTGAAAGACTTGAAATAGAAATCAATGAAACTTTCTAGTCTGTACCATATGCTTGGAGCAATGACCACAAGAACCATGCGATGGCTTGTTTCTCCTGTCAAAATCTATTTGCCCCTTTGGCATTGAATACTTTTCTACCCACATCAATTTTGTCTTCGTCTTAGAAATAAGTAAGGGACAAGGTAGGAAGGAACTCTTATATTATTTACTCTTAAACGAGAGGAAGTTCATGCAGACTCGAACTTGGGATACAATACTTGAAAACATATATTTATACTAGTTTAGAATAAATCAAGATTTAGAAGAATAAATACATCTTTAATAGTTATGCACCTAGTAGAACTAAAGGAATACTTAGACTTCAAAATTTATTCCAGCAACCCCTTTTAATTTTAAAAGTCTGGGAACTCGTGAAATATGGATTTTGATGGAGAATAGTGTTGTTGCACCTCTCTCTTTTCTTGTTTATGATGAAAAAATTCAAATATCTCTTTGATCATTTTTTACCGTAACATTGTTGTCATAATTTTATGGAACTTGCATCTTCCTCTTGAAAAGATCTCTCATGCTCTGTCTTAGCCTCTCCTTTCATCGTGGATAGGTAATGACATGTCATTTCTTCAATCTTTCTTTATTTAGCAATTGTATTTGCTTAAAACATGGCTCATCTAAGTCGTTTTTCTTCTCTTGGGACTGCTGTCATATTTCTCTAGCCGATCATCTCTCTCTGCAAGATATAGCTTTCTAAATGGTTATTCTATTTTAGCTCATTCTTTATCAGGATGATATCTTTCTCTTGTCATGGCTACTTGGCCATTTTCCATCTTCTTCTACAGGAAAAGCTCTCTTTTCTTATTACTGTGTGATAGCTCTAGTATCACATCTCATCTCTTGTACAAGAAACTGCCAGCCTTGTACTGAACCTGCTTTTTAGACTCCCTCTATTTTTCTGAATGCAAGGTTTTAATTCACTTGTTAGGTTTTATCACCTTGCCCCCACCTTCTTTTTTTTTTCAATATCACTCATCCATCCGCTCTATTTTGCTCCATTTTTTCTCTTTAGATATCTCTTGTTTATCCACTCTATTTGATGGAGAAGGGAAGTATGGTAAAAAGCAATTTCATTTATATAATATTATTTTTTTAAAAGAGAGTCTCATACTCAACATATATATTTATACTAGTTTAAAATAATTCAAGAGAATTAAAAGGATAAATACATCTTTAATAATTTCAAATTTAGAAAAGAAATCAGGAAAAAACTAAAAGAATAATTAGGCTTCAAAATTAATTGCAACATGTGGAATAATGCTAGTAAACATGAATATTCTTCCTTTTCGGATGCTAATCCTTCATCATAACCAAAGAAAAAACGCAAAGAAAGAAAGAAAGAAAGAAGTTGTTTTCTTTTAAAAAAGAAAGAAACGATATTCATGAATTTCTATTTAGAATATAGATTTAGATTAAATGAAGCATATATAGCATGGAGATGGGGCAACTAAAGTGAGAACTTCAGGCAGGAAGAAAATCATAGTTTTTTTTTTATATATATAAAGAACAATTAAAGAACATGAAGAATCCAAGAATATATCAACACTCGAAGAAAATAAGTACCTGGATACGAAAGGGTGACCATGTACTAGGATCCTCAGGCATTTCCTCCCAAACCGCGAGATCTTTCTCCTCCGAGACATCAGCTGATCTCAACCATTCATCAATTGTGACTCCAACATTTGCCCTCACAATTCTAACACCAGCATCATTACACTTTACTTCCCAATTACCCGACTCCCCTCGGGTCAACCGACCCGTAACTTGTGGATACAAAGAAAGAACCTCCGACAAAGACACCCTTAAAGGGTCCACGTCAAAAATCCCAAATGGGTTTTTCTTGTAGTAAAAAACCAAGTGTAATGTATGGAGAGCCATTGCATGGTCAAGCGCTGATAATGGATGGGTCTGACCCGGCCCGACTGGCTTGCTGGAGACTGCTGTTAACATTGAATGGACACTAACCCTACTGTTTATAATCGCCATTTTTCACTCCAAGCTGTATGCGTGTGATTTTCCTGAAGAAGAAGAAGAAGAAGGTAGCAAATTTGAAGCGCTCTCTCTCTCTCGGTATAGACTTTAGATATAGACGTGTATGAGAAAAAGTGTTAGGAGAGGTGGCTGGAAGCGCAGCTATGTTGGGTTGTCAGAATTTAAGAGAAGGGAACTGTTATCTGTTGGGTATCATTTCAGAAGCGGTGGCAAGTAGTGGAATTCAATTACAATAATTGTCATGAACCGAATTTGAGGTCTGTAACCGACAATGCAGAAACGGTCTTAAAACAGACAATGCAGCAACGTTATTAAAAAAATATTTTATTTACGTTAAATTTTAAAATTAACATATTAAAAAAATAAATTATTTAAAAATGCATAATATTTTATAATCTTTAAAAATATCATACTATTTAAAATTAATGAACACCAAAGATAATTCAAAACTATTTATCAGTAATTAAAATAAAAATAATAATTCATAATACTTATTATATTGTCAAAAGCCAAATTTAACTAAAACAAAGTAATAGTGAAGCATCTAAGACGTTGAGTAAAAAAAAAAAGGAAAGCCTCACAAAACAAGTAAGGCATACCGACCAAAACTGAAAAAATAGAAACTCTCAACAAAGTCTATCTACTATCAGAATTGAGTAAAAAAAAAAAAAAGAAAAGCCTCACAAAACAAGCAAGGCATACCGATCAAAACTGAAAAAATAGGAACTCTCAACAAAGTCTATCTACTATCAGAAACTAAGAACCTGAAATAGTATTAAGAATGAGAAATTAGTTCAACCAACTTAATGAGAAAATAATATTTAATATACATTTTAGATATTTTAGATATTTTAGATATATATATATATACATGATAATCATAATATAGTGGAATACATGTTAGAGATCATATGACACCTAAAGGTGATTACTGTGGGATGATCAATCGCCACAAGATGATGTTTCTCTCATCAGTTAGGTATACGGAATACTATATGCATATAAACTAACTACTCTCCGTTAGCATGGAATTACTGACAAGTCCTATATCAAGGCATAATAGATATTTATAGAATCATCAAAAAAACATATATAATATCAAATAGAATTTAACTCAGCAGAATGCGAGTGCAAATTCAAGAATAGATGAGTACTTGGAAAATAAAGCAAAATAAATAAATATTCAAGAGATTAACTAATCTTACTCATCATATAATCAACATACATATTTATTTATATTATATGCATATTAAAGATTATCCCACTCACCCGAAAATCCTATTAAGGATCGTTAGGAGAACCTATAACAATATATGAAATATACTAAAAAACAACTCAAACAAAAGATCCCAATGCATAAAATAAAACCAGGTTTAGTCTCCTAAGTTTATGGACTAAAACGATAATTATCTAAAACAGAGACCAAAATGTAATTTTACCAAAACTAGATCAAAATATAAATACATAACCATACTGAAATCCCACCCATAAAACATCCTCAATTCTGTCCAGAGTGACATGCGGACCAAACAATAATGTTTTAAAAGTTCAGGGACTAAAATGTAAATTCCTAAAATTGAGGGACCAAACTGAAAATATTCCATATCAATTATCAAACTAAGATTCATCATTCTAAATCTCATAATAACACTGTCCAGAATCTCAAAATATATTTAGGGGTCAAATTAAAAAATTTTCAAAGTTTAGGGACTAAACTAAAATTTTCATAAATCAAGGGCCAAAATAAAATTTGGTCATCTTGAACCTCAAGACCATTCTATCTAGATTTTACAGCAAGATAAAAAATAATTTCTTAACCCATAAAAATTAATTTAATCAAATTAATTCATAAATCTTTATTTTCAACAACATACTAATTAATCACCTAACATTAAACCCTTAATAATCATAAATCAATCTTAAAAATATAAAATTTTAATCCTTATAAACCCTAATCTCTTCTTTAATTATTTCATAAACAAATTATAATCGAAAGTAATACAAAGATAACCACTTACTTGCTACTTCCACTTTTCTTGAACCAAAAACACAAGATAAAAAATTAAATTCTTTGGTTTGAGGAGGGGAGGGTCATGGTGGCTATAGGAATTAGAAGAGAGGAAAAAACATTTCTTGTAATTCTTTTTTAAATACCCAAGTTAATTTAGATTGAGTTTGGACTCACTTGAACCAAAAATTTGGGTATTACAATAATATTTCATATGACAACATAGATTTTAGGTGAGAAATTAGATGTGAAACACAAAGTATAGAGGTTATGAGACGACGACCTCAAGAAGCCATCAAAAATCAACTTAAAAAGGACGATAGCCAAAAGGCTCTGTGCCACAACTTTCTTTGATGATTATAACATCTTCTAACATAAGACAACCAATCATTAGTAGAAAAAAAATTGCAAAAGAAGAAAGAGTTTTCGTTACATATTTCTTTTATTATTGGAATGGTATTTTGTTTTTTTAATCAATGTTTTTTTTCATTCTTTATATTATATTTGTTTTTATTAATTTATTTTATTTGTATCAAACAAATTGATAGTTTAATGGATTAACTTGATTAATTTAATTTTTTAATTATATAATTTAACATGATAGTAATCAAGAACTAGGCTTCATATTTATTTTGTATGCTTTACATTAGGTAATGCCAGCCTCATAATTTGGGAATAGTGTTTAATCCAAATTGATTCGAGTTGTTTTTTCTATTTTTTTTTAATTTTTTTTATAATTTCATCATTCAACATTAAGCTGGTTAAAATTTAAGTTTCATAATCTGTTTTGACTTTCTTTATATAGAGATACCTTGGTCTTATTATTAGAATCGCGAGTTTTGGTATTTTAACCCTAGTTAAAAATCAAGTTTTTTTCCTTTCTTTCTAAAAGGTTATCTTAGTCTCTTAACCTGGATCACAAGTCATTTAACATTGCATTTGATTTTTATTGGATTATCTATCTTAATCTTATAATCTGAATCATAGGTCCTTTAACATATGATTTGATTTTTATTGGGTTATCTATGTCTTAAGACCTAGGTCATGGGTTTGATGGGTTAATCCGATTGACTTAATTTTTTAAAACTTTTTTAATTGATTATTTTTTAATTTTATCATTTAATATTGATTCTGATTAGAAATTATACATTGTAATTTGTTTTAGTTTTCTTTTTATTAGATTATCATATTCTCATGACCTGAGAATAGTGCTTAACATGTTATCTCGGGTTAACTTAACTTATTTTTTGTGCTATTTTTTAATTAAATTTTTACTAATTTTATTATTCAACATTAAGTCTGACAGGTCGATTGAGAATTGAATTTCATAATTTATTATTATTTGTTTTATATAGGATTATCTCAGTCTTATTACTAGAGTTGCAAATTTAGCAAGTTAATGCAGGTTAAATCATTTCATTTTTTTTTTATAAGGTTATATTGATCTCATAACCCAAGTTGTGGGTTTGATAAATTGACTCATATTGTTTTTTATGTTTTTTTTAATTGATTTTTTTAATCTCATCCTTTAATATTGAATTGATTGAGAATTGAATTTTATAATTTATTTTAATTTTTATCTCGATCTTATAACCTAGGTCAAGGGTTTGACAAGTTAACTCAAGTTATTATCTCGATCTTATAACCCGGGTCAAGGGTTTGACAAGTTAACTCAAGTTATTTTTTAGGTTATTTTTTAATTTCATTTTTTAACATTGATTAATTACAAATTAAGCTTTATAATTTATTTTATTTACTTTATATGAGATTATTATAGTTTTATAACCTGAGTTATGAATTTGACATGTTAATCTAGTTTGATCCAAGTTAATCGGGTTATTTTTAAACCCATGAAATTAATCAAATCAATCTTCGTACAGTTTTAAAAAAATTTCCATTAAAAAAAAATATTAACAATAGTTAAATATTTTTATTTTTATATTCAAAAAAAATTTAACAGCTCAATTGTCTATTTTAAACTAATAATTTTAAAATTAACCCAACTATTATCCGTGCATATCGGCAGAATGACAAACTAGTGGCGTATGCTTAATGCTAGCCAATGATGCCCTCAGATGGATTGCTACGAGTCTTAAAAGACATAGCTATGGATTCAGTTCTTTATTGATAACCATCTGGTGCCAAGTGTGAGATTTCTCTCTACACTTATTTTGTAGTTCTCGCATCTTATTTCTTGTACATGTTCATTGCAAATTTATACTTTATTTGCTTCAATGATTTATTATCAATTAAAAAAATGTGTAATTTGCATTTGTCTTCAACTCCAGAAGGATGAGAGATTGCAACTTGAATATTACTTGCTAGTGACTCTTATGTTTGCTCAGTTGCACTGAACCAGTGGAAGTTCCCATGCATCCTTGATACCAATGTACCAAGCAACTAGGCAACGCTTGCCTGGCACAAGGAACCATTAGCCTACCAACATACAGGATGTAATTACAAGTTAACAACAATGTTCATAATGTTCTACTCAAAATGGTTGCGACAAGATTATTAACGAGTAGAATCAATCATTATGGTTTTCCGACCAACAAAAATATTCACAGTTAAAATGACCTGCTGTACCAAGCTGATAGTGGATGCAAGACATCGAGTTTATGCTAAATTCAACAAGATCTATAACTGAATTCATTCACTTTCAAAAATGATAAGCTAATCTGGATTCGAATGGGATTCTATGATAAACCAGGAAAATGAGAGAAAGAAACAGCTTAAGAAGCCAGGTATCACGACATTGATTCGACATGGGCTTTGTGCAGAGCATAACATTCAATGCATATCAGCAGATTTTAAAACTCGTTAGATTTCCGGGAGATCATAAAACTAACTTTCAAGACCCAAAGCGTTTTATACTGGATAAATAATGGGAAAATAGAAAAAACATGCAAGATTTTAGCAATTCTTTTAAAGCATCTTCCTTTCTTTTTCCTCCAGTTTGGTATTAGTGATCCTCAATCTTCTTCAGGCTTTTCATGTCTGTTGTTTCCACCCTGTAACAATGAAAAAAAGCTCATCAAATTCATGCTGGACACCGGAGCATGTAACATTTATAACAAGGAAATCAAAGGTTAGATGAATAGATGCTGACAAAAATGAAAATTTTAAAGACTGTGTATTCTCTAGGAAGATAGTTTTTAATTTTCATATTCACTTTCATCTTCATACTAAATTTGTCTCTCCAACAAACTATGTTTACTAACAAATACTTTTCAACCATAAAAAACAAGGGCGTTGTTTGACTTGTCTTTTAAAATTTGATAAAGAGATGAAAAAACAACCAAACCAAACAAGGGCCCTTGATTTCTAAGTAGATAATTTGGAAAACAATTGTTTTGTTATTCCAGCTTTGTAGAAATTTTAAAAAAAAATGAGAATATGTGTTACAATAAAATACAGTGATTAAATATGTTTTTCTGAAGTTTCCTGTTTCCTAGAAAATGTTTCTAAAGAACTGGAAATTCTCCACAAGTAAACACAAACAAAGTGTTTCCTTCATTGCTAAGCACATCATTCATTCCATAGCACATGGAATTTCATAATACTTGGTGAAAGTCATAAGAAATACTTAGTGAAAGAAGGCACGCTCCTCGTTCATAAACTTGTTCACTAACAATCAAGACCTAAATAGATGGGAATCAAACCATGAAAGCAAAAGGAATTGTCCAGTGCACAAGCAACAAATCATATTTAGACAACTTAATACACCTTCCAGAAGCTAAATACTAATCTCATCAGACAAATCAAGAGAATAAAATAATGTAACTCATCCTTGCCAATACTACAACAACAGACTCAGAAGTAGCTCAAAATTAATAAGAAACAACTAAGATGGCAATGATAATCTAAACTCTAAATAACTCTTGGTTGATAGAAAACCATTCATACAAGCATTATGTTAGTCTATAGAACTGAAAATTTCAAGCAGGAGTAAATGACATGATCCTCTGCTCTCTAAGAGTTTGAAGTGCATTAGAAGTAATGCAAAACTTCACTGCATCTAGAAAAAATGAATCCACAGCTTCTCTATTGCATAGAAAATGCATGAATATAAGCAGTGTTATTTGAGAATACCATCTAAATTTCAAATTTCACCATTTTGGCAGTTCTTCTAGCCACATGATTATCTCAACGTTACAGTTTTTACAAAATGTAAAATCAAATAGAGTTGTAAGCTAAGCAGTCAGCACTCAATGTGAGAACAATGCTTCCAATGTGTCCAAGCCATAAGATAAAGAATATGTTAATGACTAGTTCACTAGACAAGAGCTCAAGTAAGTTAATGCCAAAGTTATTTCCTAAATGTAGGGATAGAAACTTACGTTCTTCCGAACAAAGCAATCTTTTGAACTTTTGTGATCTCCGAATCTAATTGATTATCCTCGATAAATACTGTCAAGCTGATCAAAATTTAAAAGTAAGATTTAGAGCTCGTTTATTTTTTCTTTTCAAAAGCTTTTGAAAAAAATTGAATTTTTTTTATTTTTTTCTTTACTTCAATTTTTTATATATATTTTCAAGTCTTTTTAATGTGCTGATATAAAAAAAATTAAATAAAAAAATATTATTTCAATGCATTTTCAAGCAAAAAAACGTTTTGAAAAGCAATTACTACCACACTACTAAACAGCCTCTTACTGCTGCAACTGAGCATGACAAGAAAGGAAGTGCATAAATGCAAAAACTTTAAGCATACCTACGAACATTCTGAAACTTGACATATTTCAACACCACAGGTTTTCCCTACAAAAGGGTAAATGAAACATAATGGTAAAGTAAGAGATTATATCAACAATTTTCAGCACTTACTTCCTTATCAAGAACATCAACATCATAGTAGCAGGAGGAGAAAATAATATCAACCTTGAGAGTATCCGGGGATAAAACTACAGTGTCACTTGGAGGGTAATCGTTAACATTGCTGCCATAATCAAACCATGCGATGAATTTAAGATAAGAAATACTGCACTTGCTTTCAAAACTGGAACCATTTAAAATACACCATTACTAACAGTACCTAAATCCCATATGCTCCTTGTTTGAAAAAAGTTTTGCCGTCTTTGGACCTGGAGAAACAAATTGAAATGATAGATTAGCACATCAATGCTTTTTCACAGGATTGTTTTAATGCGTGATGCAAAACATGACTGGCAGGTGAAATCTTAAGGAAATTCAACTTCAGAAAAAAAGTTTAAAACAATAAATACCATCTTCTTCAGGTCCTTTGATGGCAATAGAATGCAGTTTAATAACTTGATTGAAAGGTATATGAATCAGCAACTGCTCATCCGCATCACTTTCTAGAGTCAAACCATCATCTTCTCTATAACCCTAAAATACAAACAAGTACGTAAAGAAAAGAAAAGGGGCCAGTTTTCTGTAAAAAAAAAAAAAACAATAAAAAAAGCTTAGAAGAGAACAAACACAGCGACAACATTAATTTTAAAACTCAAAACTTTAATTGCATGGAAACCCAGAATACTTAAAATGTCAAAACTAGTGCTCAACGGAACTTAATAAAGCTACTATATGGGTTTCCAAGGAAAAGATTTCGACATCCAAATCCATTCTCTTTACATTACTTCAATTAAATCAGCATGCATGAAAAGGACTATGGCTAACCACATTATCCCTAATTCCTTGCATGCAAAACCAAGACTCTAAAGACATAAAAGGCAAGCTCTACCATGGCATAATACTTAATAAAATCATAAAAAATCAGTGATAACAACAAGAATTCGGATTCAAATTCTGCTTAAAAGGAGAAACAACTATTACCTGCTTGATAGCATTGGAAAGAGAGTGGCTTGTGCTTTGGTTAAGACATTCAACTCCAGAAAAATCAATAAAATCCAACAAATCAACCTGATTCATTCACAAAAAGATTCAAACTTCAATACCCTTGTCAACAAATCTCAACAAACCCAGTTCCCGGATTCCAATAAATCACATGAATTCTCTTGAAAACCAAAAAAAAAAAAACACTCACTTGGCCCCTTGGAATTGCACTGGCTGATTCTGCAGACATTTTTTTTCCTTTTCTCTTGTTACTGCTTCTGTATTTGACAGACAAAAAGGAAAGATTGCTTGCAGAGGAAACACAAAGAACTTTTTTGAGGACATCGGTTCATATTTGTCACTAAGAATGAGGTATTATTCCAGGGGAGACAGAATTTGACTGATAAAACGACACTGTTTGATGTGTGTTTGTGTTTTGGGTCGGTTTGGGCTCTTAAACTCTCACTCTTTCAGGGACATGTCTTAAAGATCCAAACTTTGTCCCACAAAACAGAGAAAATTGAAGGTCCAAACCTGTAACATGGGCCCTTCCCATGCAAACCGAAAAAATAGTTTTTATCATTTCATTTCATGGCAAACAACAAAAATATTCACTTGATCATTATATCCCATAAGTTCTTGTTCCTGAAAAAAAGCAAAATCCTTACTATTAAGTTTAGTCTGTAAAAAAAGGCATAAATTCATGGGCTTCAATCAGGTATCCCATTTCTGCACAACAAGATTATGAAAATCCGCATGAAACAACTGAATGCACCAATCCTCATCTTAGTTCATAAACTCACAAGTTTTGAGGTTCCACAAGGGCTACTTCCTAAAACTGTAGCTGCAGTTGTTCATAAGCAATACGCACCAATTGTCAATTAGATTGTGGCAAATGGGATTGATGCTACTTACTCGTATTGTTATGTCGAGTTCAAATCCAAAAGAGGCTATGAAGAATTCCTCGAAGAGCATTTGGACAAAACTTCCTTGGGTGCATCAGCTTGCAATAAGGCAATGGCCGCCCAAATCTTAAACAACTGCTAGAATTATTCGAGATAACTGCTAGACTCCACTCCAGATTTGAAGATTTAGATCATTAGATTAACTTATCAAGTCATGAAATCAACTTGGATTTATTATTTTATTCAAAATAATATAATTTTAATTATTTAAAAAAGTTTGATTTTTATTTGATTAAGTCAGTCGAGTGGTGAATCAATTTACCGAATTATTTTGATTTAATCAAAATTAATATTAAAATCAATTCGAGTTCAAAATAACTTGAGTTAAGCATTAGATAATGAATTTTTCGAGGCAATCAGCACTCAAAGCACTACGAAAATACATCAACCACCAAACTCCAAGTCTTTTGTCTTCTTGCCTCTGTTCCCCTGAGTCCAAACAAACTTATAACAATCCCACCACTTCAACTAACTAGATTACCGGAACATCCCCATACCAAAAAGAAAAGGAAAAAAAAAAAAAAAAACACCCACCATGGCTTCGTTATCCTTGCTCCCCTCTCCTTCCTCGTCCTCCTCCTCTCTTTCCTCCCTCCACCACACCACACCTTCCTCATCCCGCCTCACCCTGCGCACCCCGCCCCTTAACCTCCGCACCCGCACCAAAATCTCCTCCATCAAAGCCCAATCCGCTCCAGTCCTCACCCAAGACGACCTTAAAAAACTTGCTGCCGACAAAGCCGTAGAGTATGTCAAATCAGGCATGGTCCTCGGCCTCGGTACCGGCTCCACCGCCGCCTTCGTGGTAGCCAAACTCGGCGAGCTCTTAAAGACCGGGGAACTGAAAGACATCATTGGAGTCCCAACTTCTAAACGCACAGAAGAACAAGCTCGTTCTCTTAACATTCCCCTTTCTGTCCTGGATGACCATCCCCACATTGATCTTGCCATTGATGGAGCTGATGAGGTAGATCCACTTCTTAATTTAGTAAAGGGTCGGGGTGGAGCCCTTTTGAGAGAGAAAATGGTTGAAGCTGCATCGGATGAGTTTGTTGTTGTCGCTGATGAGACTAAGCTTGTTGATGGCCTTGGTGGAAGTAAGCTGGCAATGCCAGTTGAAGTAGTGCAATTTTGTTGGAAATATAACTTGGTGAGGTTACAAGAAATGTTCAAAGATGAAGGGGTTGAGGCTAAATTGAGAGCTGGTGAAGATGGGAAGCCTTATGTGACCGATAATTTTAACTATATTGTTGATTTGTACTTTGAGAATCCCATTAAAGATGGGTATGCGGCTGGGAAGGAGATTTCGGGGCTTGAAGGTGTCGTGGAACACGGTTTGTTTTTGGATATGGCCACCGCGGTTATTATTGCTGGGAAGACAGGAGTTGAGGTTAAAAGCAAGTGAGGATCTCTAATCTTTATGTTATTTGATGCTTCGTTACATTGACATTGGTGTTGTTCTCATTATTTTTGTTGCGGTGAATTTAAGCTCTTGGGACTCTTAGTTGGATAATTTTGTTGCTTTGCTCATTAGTATAGGAATGGAAATGGGAAATGATCAAAATGAATGAATTGGTTTCATGGGTATATCATTCATGGAATGCTTAATGCCACCTCGTATTGATATTGGGATGAATAAATGGATGGCTTGTCATATTGTTTCTTCCGTCCTTGTTAATTATAATCGAAATGGGTTAATTTTGTGCGGATGGATGTTCTTGTGTATGTACTACCAATAATGCCCTTTTGTTTTGTTTTCCTGTGTTTCAAAGTGAGAATATGGGAAATTCAAGTTCATTGAAACCTAAGTTCTACTGATAATTTGGCGATCGTGAGTTCATGGGTGATGATAGCTGGAGCAAAAGTGCTCTAGTGTCTCTACGGGTTGCTCTTTCTTGTTGCTCTGTAGTTAAGTTTAGTGTTTCTTAAAGGAAAGCGCCCAACCAACATCTTAGATTGTTTCCATCTTTTCGTTTACTTAGTTAATGATGTTAATCCGCCGTGCTGAAAAGTAATCCACTGTGTTAATTGTTGTCTCAATTGCATGAGTATTGGTATGAGTGTCAGCTATATACATGTTTCTTAGGTGATAGAACAAGTTTATTTAGTTTCTCTAGTAGTAGTAGTTTTCAGGGACAGGATGTATTTTGGATTTCAAGGAATTTTTTGTATTTTGCCTACTAGTCTCAAAAACTAGAGTGGATTGATGGTGCATCAATTTGGCCAACAGCATAGGTCTGGTTTTCAAAGACTGAAGAGTATGAAATGGAGGGCTTAAGATTCTCTAGTGAAAATATTTTGGGAGACAAATCTGAAAAAGCATAGTGGATACATTTATAATCCCCAACTTATATCAGTTGTACTGAGGGATTAGGGAACAGTACTAGATTGTTTCAGTTTCATCAGGAGGGCATGAATAACATCTGAGAGGTCTCTATAGTTCAATCATGATGTTAGTTTTCAGAAGTTTGAATATGATTCTATCCTTGTGTATCTGCATTCAGAATCTTTAGATATAGGAAAAGGATGGAAGATGTGAGTCATGTGACTCAGAGGAAGACAGGGCAGGATGAAGTGAATATCGATGTCTTGTTGGAGTCTCCTGCATGGAATGTGATACACATTGAGTGCAACATGTTCTTCCAAGGTGATAGATATTAGAGTGACTATATTACAGCTTATTGTTCCACTTATGCTTCAGTGACTGGTATCTGCTGTTATTGCAAGATACCTATGCTTTTGTAAAGTTGAAATTCCTAGCAAAAGCCAAACCATGTGTAGTCCGTAGACCTGGTATCAATTATGAATCTATAGCATCTTTGAATTTGAATCACATTTTATTGTATTGAGCAGGTGAGGGGAAAACTTAGCAAAATTGATTCTGTTATTAGCAGATTGTTGATCATCAATGAGCACATTTGGAGTGAGAATAAGAAAAGATCATTAGAGCAGATTGTTTGATCACGAACTTTCTAGCCTGTTATTGTGTTAACATTTTGGAATATTCTAATCCTTCGTTTTGAGAGACATTGTGCGATTTCAAAGGCAGTTCTTTACCCCCATCAATCAAATGTGAACAGCCATGGATTAAAAATAAGCAGCTTGAAGTTGAAATAATGCTTTCTTACATTGTGCTTTAGGCTTTGACTCTGAGCATTATCTCCATGGTTATTTTCTCAACTTATCTTCATCCTTTCCATTGATAACACAAATTTTTGATTGCTCAACAAGGACTTGCTTGTACCTAATCCAGAAGCTTATGTGGAAACTGATGGGAGAAATTACACTTGGAAAAAGGAAACCACGTGGCTCATTACTTGTACTTGTGTTTAGTTTTCTTGTCAAATTATTTGAGTTATAATAATCAAACTAGATGGTCAGTTCACAAGGAACATTTGTCCCAGAAGCTACCTGGATCTTGTGGTTTTGTTTCTCTGTGATTACCGTGAAGTCAAAATGAAATAGAGAATTTTTCTTTTTTACAAGCTCAATAATGTATAAATAAATAATCAAAACAGTTATATCAAAACATATGGATCCTACATGGTTCTATATACAACACTCATCCTCCATCTAGGTCTGTGTTCTGACTTTTATTCGCATACAAACTGAATTTCTACACAAGAATCTGGTGTATAAGTAAACAAATGATGCACCAAATGGAATTTATTAGTGAGTATAACCAAGTATCTCATTTAGTGAAACTAAAATGCTGACTAGCCTGGATCTTCCTCCTTCAGTTTCCACCCTACTTCAGAGCCATAAGCATAGAGATGACCAATATAATAATCCAATGGAACTTCAGTGGCAAAATTGTGCTCGCTGCATAACAAAAATAAATGCGAAAGCATCACAATCTGAAATGAGATATTTTATGTTATCAGAAATTATATGATTCTTTCATGGAATGATTCAACGTGAGCTGATGTAAAAAGAAAATCGTGTAGCTCGTCAGATTGGCATGCTCTTCCTTTAATTTAAGCTTTCATAATATTTTAAGAGATTGTGCCCATGATACCCGTTTAATCTGTCATTGGGTCTGCCTGCCCTTAGAATCAAGCTTGATGATTCTTGAAAGACACCCTTCATCGGGGAAAATGTTTTGAGATTGAAAATCCCCCCCCCCCTCTTTATTGATATCTTATTCGTAGCTCATCAAGGAGTTTCAGCAGCCTATACTGAAACTCCTTATTCTTCTTGTTGAAATTGTGTATTTTCTCTTATAATATTCATTTTGTGTCAAAGAAAAAGAAGTTGAAAGATGGCCAGAATTTGAGAAAGGTAGGGGGTGAAGAGAAAAACTGGGAAATATTTAGTTTGTAACCTCACCAGGATCTCCATCAGGGGTTGTTCCATTTCCGGTTTCAGTTCCAGTTCCATCAGATGTTGAATTTGCTACTCTGATAATTTCGGCACAATCAGATCCAAGTGTACCTAAACAACCAAAGCCATGTCTCTCAGACCAGTTTTTCAAGTCTGTTGTTTCTATTTACTATTAGTATT